GAGTTGTGGGGAGCTGCAACATGCGTCATAGAGTCTCGGGGAGCTGCTGCTGCTGTCATGGAGTCCTGGGGAGTTGCTGCTGCCTGTCATGGAGTCCAGGGGGGTTGCTGCTGCTGTCATGGAGACCTGTGGCTCTGCAGCAGACGACGGAAAGGCCTGTGGCTCTGCAGCAGACGACGGAGAGGCCTGTGGCTCTGCAGCAGATGACGGAGAGGCCTGTGGCTCTGCAGCAGATGACAGAGAGGCCTGTGGTTCTGCAGCAGATGACGGAGAGGCCTGTGGCTCTGCAGCAGACGACGGAGAGGCCTGTGGCTCTGCAGCAGACGACGGAGAGACCTGTGGCTCTGCAGCAGACGACGGAGAGGCCTGAGGTTCTGCGGCAGGAGGAGGAACTGAATCTTCTGTGGCAGGAGCAGGAACTGAATCTTCTGCGGAAGGAGCAGGAACTGAATCTTCTGCGGCAGGAGCAGGAACTGAATCTTCTGCGGCAGGAGCAGGAACTGAATCTTCTGCAGCAGGAGCAGGAACTGAATCTTCTGCGGCAGGAGCAGGAACTGAATCTTCTGCGGCGGCGGCGGCAGGAACGGAGTCTTCCGCGGTGGCAGGAACGGAGTCTTCCGCGGTGGCAGGAACGGAGTTTTCCGCGGCGGCGGCAGGAACGGAGTCTCCTGCGGCGGCGGCAGGAATGGAGTCTTCTGTGGCGGCGGCAGGAACAGGTGCGTAGTCCGTCTGAAACCCCTCGGATCAGGAGAGGTGAGGGGCGTCTGCCGGGACCCCCTCAGAACAGGAGAGATGAGGAGCGTCTGCCGGGACCCCCTCGGAACAGGAGAGGTGAGGGGCGTCTGCCAGAACCCCCTCGGAACAGGAGAGGTGAGGGGCGTCTGCCAGGACCCCCTCGAAACAGGAGACGTGAGGAGCGTCCGCCGGGACCCCCTCGGAACAGGAGAGGTGAGGAGCGTCTGCCGGGACCCCCTCGGAACAAGAGAGGTGAGGAGCGTCTGCCCTGACCCCCTCGGAACAGGAGAGGTGAGGAGCGTCTGCCAGGACCCCCTCGGATCAGGAGAGGTGAGGAGCGTCTGCCAGGACCCCCTCGGAACAGGAGAAGTGAGGAGCTGACTTGGGTTCAGAGATAGGGGTTGACTGAAGGGGTCTTTAAAGTCCTTATCTGTGACAGCAATTGACTGTATTCAGGAAGCCGTGCAAGACCAGGCACAGTCAATAAAAAATCGTCCATCATGGAAAACATGACGTCGACGGAAGCCGGGTTGTCCCTAGCTGCACGGAACAAACCCAGCAAAGTACGGTTTATTTGTAATATTTCATGGGTGGAAATGAAAATATGGATGGAATGTCTCTATGTGGAGGTGTGGTGACGGGTTCCACCCCCACCGGAAACCTAGGAGGTGGGGCGGCAGAACACGCCCCCACAGAGTCACTGGGAGTAAGCTCGGGAGGTACGGTCAGGCTGGGTCAGGCAGCCACGGCGCGGTGTGGTGGTGAGAGGCCGGATTCCGCCCTCACCAGGAACCTGGAAGGTGAGGCGACGGAATCCGCCCCTGTGGCGTCAAGTGGACCGGACTCGCCGAACCGAACAGGAGTGGACTGGAGCTCCCGCGGAACGTTGGATCTCGCCCCCACCGGAAACCTGGGAGGTGAGGCGGCGGATCCCGTTCCCACAGAAACACGTAATGTCAGGGTTTTCGGGTCAGGGACGAATCCAGTAGTGCAAACAGGGACTCAACTCGGCAGGAATACAAAATTAGATAATTAATGATAATAAAAAATACAAAATAACAGGCTGACGAGGCAGCAAAACTTACATAACAGGATGAACAGGAAACTCGGAAGGAACTCGGGGAAACCAGAAGACTCAGGGAAACTCAGAAGACTCAGGGAAACACGGAGACCCAACAAAGGCGACGCGACAAAGAACAAGACTGAACAGACGGCTTATATACAGGGACAAGACGAGACGTGATTACAAACAGCTGTGACGAGACAAGGGTGGCACCTATTGAACTAAAGAGAAAACACTAGGGAACACAGACACAAACCGGGCCACCAAATGGTACCATCCTTACACAACTAGTAAAAGTGGCTTTTCTGATTTCCATTTTGGACGAGAAAGACTGAGGGACAGTGATTCAAAAGAATCATAACTAATAACTGGTTTGGCATTAATCAATAATCCTGACTAAGGCTAAGGCTAAATACAGTAAGATTGTTATTCACGTCGGCGGTAATGACACACGGTTACGCCAATCGGAGGTCACTAAAATTAATGTTGCTTTGGTGTGTGACTTTGCTAAAACCATGTCGGACTCCGTAGTTTTCTCCGGCCCCCTCCCCAACCTGACCAGCAATGACATGTTTGGCCGTATGTCATCGTTTAACTGCTGGGTGTCGAGGTGGTGTTCTGACAACGACGTGGGCTACAAAGATAACTGGATTTCTTTCTGGGGAAAACCTGGTCTGATGCGGAGAGATGGTATCCATCCCACTTTGGACCGAGCCGCTCTTCTTTCTAGAAATATGGCTGATTTTGCTTATCCCCAAATTATTGACAACCCAGGGTCCAGTCCAAGAATCAGAGTTGTAGTCCTCCACACCTCTCTGCTGCTTCTCCTCTGTTACCCACCCACACCCACATTGAAACAGTGTCAACTCGCCCACAGCTCAAATTAAATAAACCAAAAATCAGCCCTAAAAATATAAACCATAAAAATCTGATTAAAATAAACACAGTTACTTTACCAGAGCAAAATCATAAAATCATTAAATGTGGATTATTGAACATCAGATCTATTTAATCTAAATCCCTGTTATTTAATGAACTGATAACTGATCATCATATTGATTTATTCTGTCTGACAGAAACTTGGCTACAACAGGAAGGTTTTGTTAGTATAAATGAATCCACTCCTGTTAATTATTTAAATTTTCATGTTCCTATATAACTGGCCGAGGTGGAGGAGTAGCTTCTATTTTTCAGTCAGCAGTTTCAGATAAGATTCTATGTCGCCTGCTTTGGCCCCCGGAATGCATTTGGCTATGGCCGCTGGAGTCCCTAAAGCCACGTTTTGGACTATGGAACTGCCAATAACCAGGGTCTGCTTCTCAGCGGGTGTGTCACTGAGCGAGGAAAATCGATTTGAAACGTGAAAGGGTCAGTGGTGAACTGGGGGCTTAGCCTTAGCACTACGCTTGCTCCGGCCCGTCACCCAGCCGGCCTGGGGTCCCGGCTGCTCGGGGTCTGCTGGAGGACCGCTAACGGGAGCTAGCCTCTGTGGTTCCACGCTATCTAGGGGGATCTGGCTAGCTACTGGTTTTTCTACAGCGCGGAGCCGAGCTTCCAGTTCAGACAGCCTCGCCTCCAAAGCTACCATAAGACTACATTTGTTACATGTATCATTACCACTAAAGGAGGCAGAGGAGTAACTAAACATATGACACACGGGGCAAGAGAAAACAGAGGAAGCGGGGAGAGAAGCTGCAGCCATGCTAAGCTAACACTAGCAAGAGCTAGCAGAGCAAATACACCAATAAAAACTGAGAAGTGTTGAAAGATAAGAGGTGTTTTAAGCACTATCCAACAGTAGAAAAACAACTGTACTAAGTGTGTTTGTGAACTAGTCAAGTCAACTTTATTTATAGAGCACATTTAAAACAGAACCTGTTATCAAAGTGCTTAACAACAACAACAACAACAACAGAATGAAAAACTGTGCAAAAGACGGATAAATCCAGAAAACAGAGACGACTTGAGCAAACAATTCACTCGAGCTACCGACAGACAAACAGGAAGTGACACAATACGTCTCACCACGAACGTGCAACGTCAGCCAGCAGGGACACCTGGAACCATAATGGGACAATTATCACTGATACAATATGGTTCCGTCTATATCAGCCTAAAATATTGGTCCCACCGATATATCGGTCTGGCTCTACTTTTTACACAAATATGTTTATATATTTTAATGATTTTTTAAATGTTACATAACAAGTCTCATCAATAACTATTTTTTTTACTTTTCCATTACATTTATTCTTGATCATAACTTATGTTCAGTAGTGTCAAGGCATGATTAGAATGGGACAGCTGCAGATCTTTCTGATCTCTTTAACAGCAGCCGTTTGGATTTGAATTTATTATACATAATGTTTTTCTACAACATATGAGTAATAATTGTGTATTCTTGTCAGGATCTTTAGACTTTGTCCTTTACATTTCAATATAACTTGCCTTACTTTATGATTGAAAGTGTGCAATAGTTTTTCTCTGTAACTTTATTTGTGCGATTGATGTATTTTGCACAGTCAAATGATGCGTGGAATGCCCTATTTATGTGAACGCACACAGAGATCAAAGCTAAAAGTCTGAGTTGACAAAGTAACATCAAAAGCACTATTGTGATATCTGTAATTTGTTAGGGGAGTTTTAGGTTTAGTCAATCCAGGCTAAGGAATAAAGCCCTACTTTGTTGAACCAGCTCCGTACTTACACTCCTCTGATCTATGAACCATGTTGCCTTTTCTTGGTTTATAAAGTGACAGCTTTTTGTTTAAACGTCACCAGCCTCCTGATTTTACCACAGACGAGGGAAAACAAAAAGAAGCGATGTGACACCATAGGCCAAAGGCAGCCTCTAAATGTCAGTTTTGTCCGCCTGTTAATGTTTTTGACGTGTTGAAGTCCCAGTGCACACAGATACACTCCGTAAGCCTGTAAACACAGTGTGAGCTACACTTCAGCGGCCGACACCGTGTTTGACCTCCAGTCAGAGTGTGACGAAACTCCACAGAGACTTAATATCAGCTAATACAAGAGACTTCAGTGAAGTGTACAACATCCATTGAAGGATGATACGTGGCTGACTTTTTTTTTTTGTCACTGTGTCATTTAAATATGTTCAGACAATTTTCTAACTTAGGCTACAGAATCGCAGTTGCATGTTGAATTTGTGTGACCTTTTTCTGCCTTTCTTGTTGTTTGACAGGACTGGGAGTTTCCTCAATTCATGGGTGACCTGGATATGAATCTGCCTGGAATGTCAACAACACACGTGAAGGTCAAGCTTCCTGTCTGCAAGCGCATCTTTAAAGAGGAGTACCACATTCATATCACAGGTGCACTGGAGCACAGCTGCTTTTAAAGAACAGTGTTTTATTTTATTTTTCTGTACGAGGAGGAGCGCCACATTTTACAAACAGCTGTACACACAGGCAGTCATAAATTTGATTATGCAGTAGGACGAAATCAAAATGTCCATTAAGGAGACACAGCTCGTCCTATTTTCTGTTTTATGAGTTGTGAATACACAACAAGCTCTCACTGCTCTAGTTTTCCTTTTTGTCTTGCTGCCTGGACGAGCTTGTTGGGTAAAACCACAGCAGCCATTTATATTGCATGTGTAGCTGATTTTTTTCTTGCAGGTGCCAAGAAAGCTTCAGCCATGTTTCACCTTCCTCATGATCTTCACTGTCATGCAAGACGCTTCTCATCATTTCTTACACCTCAGCGTCTTAATGTTTTCTACAAATGAGAACATTTCCTCTTTAAAGTCATCTTCCTGGTTTCTCCATTTTGTTCTGTTGCACGCACAGATCCATCAGGAGAAGGAAGAACCAATGTTCCTGAGCTAAATGTTGAGCTGTTCAAGCGCTTAGTGATTTTGTGAGAGGTTGTTAACCCAAATGCATTGCATACCCATTAAGCATAATGGAAATGGCTACACTGCAACGTGATTGGTTTAACTAAAAGCTTATTAGCATCATATCTTGGGGACAAGAAGGGAACGGTGTCATGTATACCTGACGAGACATGTGCCTGCTATCAGTCAGCCTAAAGAGATGGCTGTCTAATGGTAATAGAGTGATCTTGTTAGGAGATAATGTAGAGTAATTTAAGAGCAGAGCTCTTTTTATATAGTTCATGAGCTGTATGCAAAGCAAGAAAGACTCTTGATGCATATGAAAGTGACAGCGTATATTTCTGCTGGACAAATTACCTCTGCAGTCCCTAATCAAGTCTCATGTTTTGTTACAGGTAAGTGGTTTAATTATGGGATCATCTTTCTTGTGCTGATTCTGGACCTCAACATGTGGAAAAACCAGATCTTCTACAAGCCCTACGAGTATGGTCAGTATGTGGGGCCCGGGGAAAAGATCTACACAGTAGAGGAGCCTGAAACCCTCAGAGACTTCAACCACAGCACACTCACCTACGAGTGGCGCTCCACCACCGTCAATGTCAGAACAAACGCGACCTACGTGGAACGGGACATGTTCCTCCACAGCCGTTACATTGGGGCCAGTCTGGACATCAAATGCCTGGCCTTTATCCCGAGCCTAGCGGCGTTCGTCCTGTTTGGCTTCTTCATCTGGTTTTTTGGACGATTTCAGGACAGCGAGACTTTTACAGAGAATCAGGACAATACGTATGAGAGGATTAAGAAGAAGTCTCCTTCAGAGTACAGTAAGGAGATGGGCGTGACGCCTGAAGAAATGCATGCAACAATGAGCGAGAGCCTAAAACAATCGGGAACACCAATGCTCCTGTCAGTAGATGGTCCTCACTTCGGAGCTACACCCTCTACTAACTCGACCATTTCAATAGAAACCCAAGAGACACATTCAAGTGTTGTGATTGACTGCGCAACACTGGATGAGCCAGCAGTCTTTTTTGATATTCACAAACTGTCTCCATGACTGAACTTCTGGAAAACTTTGTTCTTTATAACAGCTGGAAGTACAGCGATTGGTACCTACACATGTAGATCATCTGAACTTTGGATTGTTTTTTGATTTAATTGAAGCAAATTATACCAAACAAAACATAGCAACACCAGTCCTCATGGTTGTTACACTATATATTTTTAAATATATAATTTAAAAAATAGCCTCTACAATTGCACCAACTCAGATGCAGTAAGTTTAATAAAATATATATTTTTAAATAGATGGCAAACTTAATGGACATGGTGCTTGCTTGGATGTTGTGTGTTGCTGATTGACTAACGGGTGCCTATATCAAAGTTTTTACAGCTGTGACTTGCAGTCAGGTTGATTTCTTTGTACTAAGCTACAATTGTGCCTTTATATTTTCTATATTTAAAAACCATCAGACCCAGATTCTAACAGTCAGCTGCTGCAAGATGTCCTAATTAAGGTTTGCTAGATTAATGCCTGCTATATACATTTGTATCAAATGTACAATTGTTACCTCATTTAGTCCTTGGATTCTATCGTTGTAATTTATTCCCTTGAGTTGCTTTTCAATCTGTTTTAAATGTATATCTCCTATAAATGACATGATTATCAACATCAGTGTGTGTTGATGACCTTTTTATACAAACACCCACACACACCATTGATATTAGTTTCAGTGGTAATAAATGCAATCAGCAGAGATGAAAGAGCAACCCAACAAGCTGCTTTATGATTGCTAATGTAGCTTCTGCTCCTTTCACTGAATACCAACGGAATCGAGAAGCAGTTTTTTTTGTGTGGTTTTTTTTTGTTGCTCTTTGCATAAACATGCTACTGAAGTGCAGGGGTGGCTTTTGTTCTGTAGAGCACAGGGCTTCTTTACGTCTAAATGAACTTTGAAGGTTTCAGAGGTGACTTTTGCAGGTAAATGTATGAATGTTGTTTAGTTGGTGCATTGTTCTACTTCGACAAAAATTCCAAAGCGCAAAAACTGCTATTTTTATCTGAATGGTTTATTTGATGGTGTTGTTCTGTTGTATTTTATGGCTCTACTGGATTTCTTTACAATCTGCACTTGGTTTTGATTTTAACATTGTGCTGTAAATTTCTGAACAGCGCAAATATGAACAAAATAAATACAAACAGTATTCATGTGACTTTGAAATAGTCTAAACTCAAATGTAGAGAAGTAATTTTTATATAACAACAAAGTCCATGCTCAATAATCCAGGTGTACAATCCAACATTTTTCAGTCAGGTCATCTGGACAGTTTCTCTTTTTTGTGCTGAAACGTTTCGCCTTCCATACGGAAGGCTTCATCAGTCAAGGAAACACGCAACACAAAACTGATTCTTCCCCCAACAGCTTACTCCAAAGTGGAACAAAACAGTTTTGTTGGTGCTAAGATGGTCTCTTTGTCACGCCCCCTCCTCCATTGCTGGCCCTCTTCCTTGTTGACAGTCGTGTCAAACTGGTTGAAAACAACAAAGTCCATGCTCAATAATCCAGGTATAAAATCCAACATTTTTCAGTCAGGTCATCTGGACAGTTTCTCTTTTTTGTGCTGAAACGTTTCGCCTTGGATCCAGAAGGCTTCGTCAATCAAGGAAACGCACAACAAAACTGATTCTTCACCCAACAGCCCTTCCCCCCAAAAGTACCATATAATGGTACTTTTTATATAATTGTGACCAAAGATGCCAGATAATGCAGTATTTTTAACATACAGTAAGTGACGGCCTGTGGTGCTTCTTCACTCTAGATTTTTAGATGATACCCTGCTCTCCAGCAACATCTGAACCGAGTATTTACACTCTGACATCTGAATTCAGACAACTTCAACTCCGGAGACACTCAAATATCAGCTGCTTTGTTTGCGCTTCAGAGCTGCACTCACTTGACTGAACAGGAACTTGGTGTGTTACCAGTGTACAACTAGACTTTTTGTAGATCTTTGCAGTCTTTTACTCTACGTAAATGATAACATTTTAAACAAGTGTACAGTAGTCCTTCGCTACTTTGCAGTTCCTTTATCACGGACTTGCTCTTTCGCAGTTTTTCAAAATAAGATTGGACATGACACACAATTGGTTGATTGATGCACGATCAGCATGGACTTTTCATGTAAAATAAATTATTTTAAATTCTCTACCACCTGCTGCACATTTGTGCAGCCCAGAGCTGCAGGATAAACTTCCTGCTGCAGCTGATCAGCTGCTCACCATGCAGAGCTCAGAAGTGGGCGTTGCCAAGAGTGCTTGCAGGTTGCAAAGAGCAGGTGGCAGGGAGCTGAAATCATGACATTATTTACTCTTTTAGAGCGTTTAGAGTTTAGAAAGATTGTTTAGAATATTGCAAATGTGGGAAGGGTTTAAAATGTGTATATATATATATATATATATATATATATATATATATATATACAGGTCCTTCTCAAAAAATTAGCATATTGTGATAAAGGTCATTATTTTCCATAATGTAATGATAAAAATGAAACTTTCATATATTTCAGATTCATTGCACACCAACTGAAATATTTCAGGTCTTTAATTGTTTTAATACTGATGATTATGGCATACAGCTCATGAAAACCCAAAATGCCTGTCCCAAAAAATTAGCATATCATGAAAAGGTTCTCTAAACAAGCTATTAACCTAACCATCTGAATCAACGACGTAACTCTAAACACCTGCAAAAGATTCCTGAGGCTTTTAAAAACTCCCAGCCTTGTTCATTACTCAAAACCACAATCATGGGTAAGGCTGCCGACCTGACTGCTGTCCAGAAGGCCATCATTGACACCCTCAAGCAAGAGGGTAAGACACAGAAAGAAATTGCTGAACGAATAGGCTGTTCCCAGAGTGCTGTATCAAGGCACCTCTGTGGGAAGTCTGTGGGACGGGAAAAGTGTGGCAGAAAACGCTGCACAACAAGAAGAGGTGACCGGACCCTGAGGAGGATTGTGGAGAAGGGCCGATTCCAGACCTTGGGGGACCTGCGGAAGCAGTGGACTGAGTCTGGAGTAGAAACATCCAGAGCCACCGTGCACAGGCGTGTGCAGGAAATGGGCTACAGGTG